AGCCACAATGTCGTGATGCCGCTGAGCTGTGCTGGGTCTCGTGGGGACCGCTGGCATCTGGGTGGTCATCATCGATGGGGTCGTTGTCGATGTCGGCCTGCCAGTGGTCGATGGCACTGGGGTTGGAGTCAGTCACGTTGTCACCTCCTGCAGACTGGGGATGTCCAGGTCTAGCCAGTGGTGCAGCGGGGCTGAAGCCGCCACTGCCCAACCTGGCATGAGCTGGCGAAGCAGTGGAATGGCTAGTCGCTTCAGCGGCAGTGGCTCCTTCAGCGTCGTTTGGCCGCGCCGATGGGTCGGCCTGATCTGGGGTGTGGGGCACACTGCGTTGCCACGGGGCGATCCCAGAGTGAGGCTCACTGTCGCGGTCACGCTGAGCCGAGTCGCCTGATGGTATCGTGCCGTCTTCATCCTGGATATCGATGTCGTCCTGGCTATCCTCCGACGCGTGGAACGAGTCCATGGATGTATTGCCGATATCGTTGGCCGCGATGTGCTGGAGCAGCCATGATACGGGGTCTTCTGCGGCCTGATCGGTGCCGTCCGTCGGCGCCGCAGCGAGCTCCGCCTCGACGTGCGGCAGCATGTCTGGCGGTTGGTGCAGGATAACATCAGCGAGGTACGCCATGGCGTCATGGTCGGGAGGAGGGAGACCTCTTGGTAGCAGAGCATGGGCCCGTGAGAGGTATGGCGGCAAAGGTGCCGTGAAAGCCTCAGGGCCAACGAGCGTGGCACGAGCGCCCTGGTACTCCAAAAGGAGGCCGAAATAGCGGGTGGCGTACTCGCGGCTGCTCTGGATCCGAGTGAGGTTGCGGTTGATGCGCTGCCTGTCAGGGCCCGCTCTGTGCCAGATGTCCTCGCACATGTCGACCGCGGTGCGATGACGCAGGGCGTCGGTGGTGTCCTCGGACGCCTCATGGAAGAGGTGATCGTACTGTGGCAGATGGAGCGTCGCCAGGATGTACGGGACGCAGTCCTCGAGCCATGCCCAGAACATGTCCTGGTTGTCCTCACCTGGTGCCCACGCCGCAGCACACGGTATGAGCCGGGCGCGGATCATCATCAGGTGCCAGAAAGCAGGGTCTTCCTCGGGTTCGCCCCTATCTCGCATGGGAGTGGTGGGACCCGTAGGGCAATAGCGGGGCACAGCAGCGGGGCTGAAGCCGCCACTGTGTGCCTGGCCAATACTGCACGGACTCGCAGCAGCGGTGCCGTTGACGATCGGGTCCAAGATGGTGCAGTGGTCGTACTTGCAGATGCTGTCATCGTAGAGGTGGAAAAAGGACGCACGTTCGACGTGCTGCAGAAGAAACCCACCTCCATGCTGGGGCGCACCGCCTGAAGACGGGTGTGCTCCAGCGAGCGAGGGGAGGGCCAGGCTGAAAGCAAAGCGCCACATGATGGCGAGGCCTGGCAGGCGGCGCGAGCGATGAGCCAAAAGCTGCATGTCAGCACGCATCTTTAGGTACCCCTGCATGCTCATGTACATTGCAACAAACACACCCACAGCAAGATGACAGGTGTCCCTACACCAGGTAGCTTGCTCGTGCTGCTGCCAAAAATGACATGATATAGCAAGGAGGAGGTACGACGAGAAGTGAGAAGGGATGCCTCTGAAGGCGCTTCCTCGGAGGGCTGAGGCGGGCCCTCTGAGGCACCTTCAATAGGGTTCCTGTGTGGCCCGCCCTTGTCTTTGCCTTTGTCAGCCCCTGGGGGCCCCGTCCCTGGGGTGACCTGGCCTGGCTGGTCGATCCACCCGCAGACAGCCACGGGATCGGCAACTGGTGCAGCTTCCTCCTTTTTGGTATCGAGGGTGGCCGCCTGGGGCAGGTGGATGGTACCCCCCATGAGGTGCCCGAGGAGGGCCTGGATGTCGCCGCGCAGTGCAGCGGCTTCGGTGGTTGCCGTCTGTTGCTGAGTGACGACGGTGGCGAGCCCTCGTTCCAAGCCTGTAACGTGCTCCGTGAGTGTGGCCTGGGATGAGAGAACGCCCGCAAGCTGGACCTGCATGTTGTCCACCGTGTTGGCAAGCAGCTCGTGCTGTTGTTCCATGTGTTGGATGCGGGTCGTAGCGGCATCTGACAGTTTAGGGGCCGTAGCGAAGCGTTCGCCGAGGGTGTTCGGTTCGCGCGATGCCACGCTGAATTCATCCTCTGATGAGAGGATCTCGACGTCGCCTGGTACCTCGGCGGCTGCGTCAGCGTGCCCTTCCGTGTGGCCCCCACCTTCGGCCGCCCCCAAGCCAGGTTGCGGGTCGTACCCGTCCCCTCCTGGTCCTTGGACGGCCGTCTGCTCGGTAGCTCCATCCGTGCCGTGCGGGGGTGCAGAGGAGCTGCGGCCTGGAGCGCCGTGTGATCTTGCGTGCGGCGTGGCGTCGCGTTTCCCGCTGGAGGATCGGTGGCGATTGGCTAAAGGCTCCTCCTTGGGGATCGGGAGCGGTGCGACGCCCTTGCCTTTGGGCGTGGCAGTCATGAGATCGTGGAGGTAGGGGCTCTGGGCCGCTTTGGTCAGGAGTGTGCCCGTGGCGGGGCTGAAGCCGCCGCCACGGGCGGGCGGCGTCACAGGCTCTGTGATAGTTGTAGGGGTGACAATGGTGACGTTATCCCTCTTCGGCACGACCTCAGCCAACGGGGCCTCGGTGATGCTCCACGGGATAGGGCACCCTGCAACCTGTACCGTATATGTGGGTGGGGGACGATGAGCGCGCACTAAGGCAAACTGCGCCGAAGTGGCTGGGTCCCAGGCGGTGTGGTAGACCTCACAGTCCCATTTGACGGACGGGCCCGTGAGAGTCTTGGCAAGCTGAGTCAGCGTGGCATGGCGTGCCGCAATGCCCGTGATGCGGTATCGCGTCTTGGCGAGAGTGGCTTCACAGCCACGGATGCTGACGGCCGCGGCCTTGGCGGCCTCTGACCCACGTGCGACACGGATCCCCAATAAGCCTGACTTGCCATGCCTGACGACTCCTAGGGCTTTGAAGTCCACCGACTTCTGAAACGCCTCTGCCATCGTGATGGGCTGGTCCTCGGGGAACCACACGGTCTGGTACTTGTCTGCCGTTGGCTCGTCCGCGCCTACGTTTCTGAGGTCGTAGGTAGCGCCGAGTTGCCCCGAACCCGCCAAGACCTTGTCGACTGCTTGAAGACTGACGCCGAAAGTGGCAGCCAGGGACCTTTTTCCGACGCCAGATCCGTACCTGCCTAGACTTTTGCAGGGTTCGAGGATAGTGACGGCTTTAAAGTTTCCGTGGAAAAGGGCCTTGAAGGTGTCTTGCAGCTGACTGTCGAGCTCCTGGCGGCGAGCGTCTTTCTTAGACTCCCTGTGCTTTTGATTTTGGCGCGCCTTGTCCTGTGGAGCGGAATCCCCTCGGAAAGGACCCTTGGCTCGTGGACCACCGTTCACGGGGGCGCCTCCTGAAAACTGGTCCTCGAAGGCCTGGTGCATGGAGGGGACAGCGGCGATGGCTTCGGTTTCATGTATGGTCACCCGAATCCAGCATACGTGGTCGGCAGGGTCGATGGTGGCGACGGCTACTTTTTCCGTGCAGGCGACTTCCTTGGTGCCCAGCTGGTACACGGTCACGGGGACATGCGTGCGAACCACATTGGGCGCCTTGGGGTGGCGCTTCAGCACGGGGACGGCGAGCTCGGTGCCGACGTAGTTGTCGTTTTTCGGGCCCATGACAGCGATGGCGAGCTGACCCGTGGTACGCTTACCCTGCTCGAGATGGTGCTGCAGCAGCCGCTCGCCACTCTCGTAGTCGTGGAGGCTGATGCTGGGCTTGTACGTCTTGCCGTCGTCGAGTGATGTGGGTTCGGCCAGGACTGGAACCTTCCAGAAGGCCGGGTCCAAGGCAATAAATTTGGCGTCCGCAGCCTGAAGACGTGCGGACGCCGCTGGTGGATAGGATGTGTCACCACCGTTGCGCTTAGACTTGCTGCGCTGGTGGTGATCCAGCGTGTAGCTGATCTGGTTTGCGGCGCACATGCGAATCAAGGCACTGCCGAGCTTCTTGGTGTTGTTCTTGTGCATGTCGTACGTGGCCTGCAGCTCGTCCGCGTTCAGCTCGGCGAGCCCGTTGTATGCGGCTGTGGGGCGGTCAGACCCCGCTTGCTTGAAGGCTGCAATGCAGTCCTGTTTGCGTTTGAGGAGGGATCCTTCAGCTGCAGGACGTGAGCTCGGCGGCTGCTTGGAAGAGCGACGGCGCTCCGGCTTGGCGGGGGCCATTGCGGCGGGCGCTCTGGTGGGAGGGAGGAGGTGACGCAAATCGGTACCGCGCTGCTGGCGCGGCTCCGGTCTCGCGAGGCCTGGAGTCGGGACTCCAGGCGGGGCGCTTCGCGTCGCGGCTACGCTATGAGTGCAGGGCACTCTCGAGCCGAGACTAGAGAAGAGAGAGAGAGAGAGAGAGAGAGAGAGAGAGAGAGAGAGAGAGAGAGAGAGAGAGAGAGAGAGAGAGAGAGAGAGAGAGAAAAACAAAAAAAAAAAGAAGAGAGAGAGAGAGAGAGAGAGAGGGAGAGAGAAATAGAGAGAGAGAGAGAGAGAGAGAGAGAGAGAGAGAGAGAGAGAGAGAGAGAGAGAGAGAGAGAAGAGAGAGAGAGAGAGAGAGAGAGATAGAAACGAGAGAAGAGAGAGGAGAGAGAAAAAAAAAAGAAAAAAAAGAGAGAGAGAGAGAGAGAGAGAGAGAGATCGAGAGAGAGAGAGAGAGAGAGAGAGAGAGGAGAGAGAGAGGAGAGAGAGAGAGAGAGAGAGAGAGAGGAGAGAGAAGAGAGAGATAGAGAGAGAGAGAAGAGCGAGAGAGGGAGAGAGGAGAGAGAGAGAGAGAGAGATAGAGAGAGAGAGAGAGAGAGAGAGGAGAGACGAGAGACGAGAGACGAGAAACGTGAGACGAGAGACGAGAGACGAGAGAGAGGAGAGCGAGAGTGAGACTAAGGGCCCCCCTTTCGGGGGTGGGCGGGGCGGGGTCTGAGCAGAGCGGGCAGGCGCCGGCGTCCACTGAACAGGATGCCCGCGAGCTGGGCTTCGTCATTGCGGCTCTGGGATACGATAATGCTTGCAAGCTCTTGTCGCTTGCCCGGGTGAAGAAAGAAGATTACTTGCCGTGGACGCGGTCTTTCGTGGACGAAGTGCGCATGGTGTTGGACCGGTTCCACCGAGACAACCACACGTGGTGCTTGAACAAGATGCCAGAGGTGGACCCCCTGAGGCCGGAGAACGAGAAGTTATTAGAAGGTAAAAACACAGAGGCATGTGAACAACTAAATTCATGGATTAGCGGCAGGACCAGGAACGGTCTCGAGATGACGCGCGGGCACTTCCAGATGCATTGGTGGATTCTTTTCGATGCTCACAACCAGTGGCTCGAGCGGGAAGCGGCGTGCAAGCGCAGACGTCTCGAGCGCAAGACGAGTAAAGCAGCTGAGCTGGGAGTTGGCAAGCCGCCGTCTTCTCGCATAAATCAAGGGTATAAAGAAACGCCCCTACCCTGGTTTACAAGAGGCTGTGCGCTGAAACTCCTGTCGGCTGACAGGGTAAACCCTGCGTGATGCGCCGCGTCCTGGCGGCTCTAGGTTTTGGGGGTTCCCGGGAGGTTTACAGACCACGCACTTGCAACCCAGGGTAGGGTCTTTTTTTTGCCCTCAGATACAGGCGTTGCCTGCGCAGTAAGTTGCGCATGATGCCGCGTATGCCAGCCAATCCGTCAGAGACTGCGACGGGACCTTGGACCTTAGATGCACTTGCGGCACATTGCGCTCAGAACTGGAACTGTAGACTTGGAGGTGGGCCCAGAGCATCCAACAAACCATCTGGTTATCGCCATCACAGCGCGCCTGCGCCCAGTCCTTCAGCATCGCCATCATATTCGTCATCCGGTTCGTTGCGACGGAATGGGCCTGCATTGTCTGATTTTTGCCGCGGGTACTTCGCCGTCCCGCTGACCTGGTCTGGGGGGGAATATGAAGGAGAAAACGCATCAAGGAGCTGGCGTGGGTGCCCCCCCCCCCCCCCACCCACCCCCACCCCACCCCCGCCCCCCCGAACCGCCCCCCACCCACCCTGAAGGTCGCGCTGGGCCGTAGACCCGCGAGGCCGAGATCGCCGCCGAGAGAAGCAGCCAGGGGTCTTCGAGATCGCCGCGCGCCCAGCGGCAGGGGGGAATTAGAAAGTGAAGGGGCTGGGGAAGGCGGCGGGAAAGAGCGGGGGAATCTCAGAGCGAAAAAACCTTCAGCGCAAGCAGCACTGTAGCGCTTCAGACATTCGATCAAACAGCGACGTCAGCACTAGCAGCGCCGTCGGATCCGCGGGCACAATGTCTTCGGCATCACAGGTTGCCATCATCATGTCGCCAATCAATCGACGCAGGAATCCGCATCAAAGTCACCATCGGTCTGGCGTCGACGTCGACGTCGACGTCGTCATCTGCCTCGGCATGGGGTTACGTCGCAAGAGAGTGCATCGGCGTCAACGCCACCGGGGGTGCGCACAGAAGCACACGCATCACCGCCATCACCGTGGATCTCAACAGCAACACCAGTATCAAACTGTCGTGGACCTCCCAGGGGGGCGCTGCACGGCGCCGCGCACCCAGAAACCTTCAGCGTGAATGTCAACATCTACCATGCAGCGGCTCGCGCTCAGCATGATGTTTGGCTTGGCCTTCAGTGGGGCCTACGTTGCAGCAGCTCCGAATGCCCGCCGTTCAGGGCGCGGCGCTGATGCGTGCCAGCAGGCTCCCGCATTGACGAAAGGAGAGATTCGGACTGTGTACAGGATCTTGGAGAGCCACAACCCGTTCCCCGAGCAGGCAGTGCGGCGGGCAACCCCGCTCATGTGGGCTGTGGCTTCGGCCCTGGGACAAGCGACCTCACTGCATGCGTCGTGCGTGTACGTCCACCTCATGATTCTGGTGGCCACAACGCTCGGGGCAGTTCAGATCAAGTACGGTGGAATACTATCCCGACATTGCAATCTGCTCATGCTCCAACATGGCCAACCTGGGGATGGCAAGTCGGTTGCGCTGTGGTTGGACGTACAAGTGCTGGCGTTCTTCGACATGATACGGGAGAGGCGCGCCAAGAAAAAGCACGACGAGGCCTGCCAGAAGCACAAGGACGACCCAGAGAACCACCCAGAGCCAGCGAAAAAAGAACACGTTAAAGACACCATCTTCAACAAGGGGACCTTCATCGGCCTCGGGAATTTCATGCAGGCGCAGGGGGAGACAGCATTTCTTGCTCTACACGAGGGGAAGACATGGTTACCGCAAACCTTCGACAACGGCCCAGGCGGCGGCATCGACGACCTGAACCAAATTCACGATCATGACATGTACAAGAACCATCCTGGGAACACGCAGAACCGATTCCTAGTGCGAAACCCGCACTTGTGCGGAGCGGTCATGATGCACATCGAAGAACTGTACGACCAGGCGCAGAAGCCCGACACGACCGCGGGCATGATGCGTTTCCTGATTGGCCACTTCCCAGCTGTTGTTAACAAAATCCGTCCAGATGTGCCGCCATCTCAAATTACGCGCCTCCTGCAGGACGACCCGGACTACTTCAACGACCTTGACTACGACGACGTCGTAACCGCCATTGGCAAGATCATGCTGGTGGCATCGGCGCTTTATGTGCGAGGCGTAGAGCGTGCGGACGAGAAAGACAACAACAGGTACTCCAGGGTGCGGGGGACGCACTTCCTGCCGTGGAAACCAGAAGTGAAGGACCACTTCCGCAAGCAATTTAACAGGGCAGCGGACTACGTACGGGAGGAGGCACGCGCGTCTAAAGGCGCAGAGGAGAACAGCGAGTATGCCGCTGCGCGGAAGGACATGACGAGAACGCTCCAGTTCATCCCCCCGGTGGACATTGGGGAGAAGGTCATCGACTATTTGTTGAAGAAGGCTGGGAAGACGTCGGAGATGATCAAAGAGATGACAGGCGAGGATATCGTGACGTGCCTCGGGAAAGGCACCGTGCCCCATGACTTCGTTGACTCTGTGGACGTGACCGCGATCGCCCCAGAGATGCACGCCGCTTCGCGGGGGACACGGCCGGATCGAATGTCTGTCTGTTTCCTCTCCTCCAGCCCCTCCCCCCTCTTCTCCTCATCCGCCACCTCCTCCACATCCTGCTTCTGCTCCTCTTCGCCCTCGTCCATTTTCTGAAAGCTCTCATGGAGCATTCTAGGGCCGTCTTGGGGCGGTCTTGTGGCACTCTTTGATTGTCCTTGGAGGCCCCCTAGTTCCTTGTCGGGGCTTCTAGGGGTGAAGCCGAATTGGGCTGTCTGGGGCTGCGCTTGGTCGTCTCTGGGGTCGTCTTGTTCCCGTCTTGGGGACCTCTCGCCTCTCGGGGCCCGCTGAGGCTGTCCAGGGCCCCATCCAGAGGCCTTCCTGTGCCCACTAGAGGCCGCTTTGCGGTTGTCCTAATTAAGGCATCGCGGAAATCTTGGGACGCCCCGGGGCCCCCGCGGAACGGTGCCCGAAGGGGTGGGCGGATTGCAGGCCCTTCTGTGGACGTGGCGGTAGCGTTGGGTGACTGGTTCTCGGGCAACTTTCGCATGAGTATTGATGCGAGGCAAACGGCGCAGACGTTCATGCAGGAGCGCGCCAAGCTAGCAGCCATGCCTCCTGCCACGCTGGCGTCCATGGAAAAGATTGTCAGCCCATCGGTGTGCGCGAGGGTGAACCTCATGTCGACCCTCCGCAACGTCGCCAAGAATTGGGACATGAAGGCCTTCGCCCAGAATCCATGCACGACAGAGGTACAGATCCACGCCGTGCACGTGGACCTCATCATCTTAACCATGATGGGTTTCCTGGCAGTGGGCCCTGGACGCGCGGGCCTCGCAGCGTACGCGCAGGACAACGAGAACTTCGTCAGGGCGGCCAACAGGATGATGGACTGGGACCCGGACGTCTCCCTCGAGGAGTTGAGGCAGCTCGTGCCGCAAGGTGCTGACGACCGGGAGGAGGGCGACCAAGCGGTTGCAGACAGGCTCCGTTGCGAGTGTCAATCCTGACCGTTATCTGTATCCTGATTCCATGTGTGTGTTTGGGAATTCGGCGTCTTGGCCCTTGCGCCGCCTTCTCAACGCGCACCGTGCCAAGTAGAAACTGAAACACGAACATTGCCAACGTGGGAAATGTTCATCCATGCAGAGGAAACCCAACAGCAAATGATCAGGATAACGCGCAGGATTGGCAAACGTAGGCTCTGCCACGGTTTGAAGGACCTTTTAGACGGCAAGGAAGTGGACTTCGTGGCGCTGAAGGCGGTGGAAGCGCCCTGCATCGAGAATGTACCGAAAGAGCCCATCCCCGCGTCCCAGGTCGCTGCGGAGCCGCCCAGGGGAGCCGCGGGGTCTGCGGCGCACAACGCACCAGCGCACGGGGTGGGTGGGCTGACCCAATCCGCGCCTGCCGGCAACGAGGCCGAGGGTGCAGAGGCGCCGCCGCAGAAGAAGCTACGCGTCGAGCCGCCCTTGCAGCAGGAGGACTTCAAGAAGGATGCCGGCATCGTGAAGAAGGTGTTGCTGTCGGCGATGCAGTCGACGCAGGATCCGCACAAGCTGTCGAAGAACGTGAATTCTTTCAATGGCAACTCCGACGCCATCGAAGCGGCGATTCGCCTGGCGTTCCGCTTCATGGTGTCGGCTGGCCTGGCCGCGTGGAATCCAGCTGAAGGTAAGGGCGTTTCCATTCGGAGCCCGCCCCCCGAGAACGCCGAGGACGTTTACAAGGAGCTCCAGGAGAGGCTCAGCTTGTCAGCCAAAGTCCTGCGCAAGCTGCAGGAATCCATGGGCGTGAAGACCGAGGCAAACGAGTTCAACTTCGAGGAGTTCAAGCGCGTGAGCGCGCTGCTCGGCGACAGCCTGCAGACGGCGTGAGCGCGCGCAGGATAGGTAAGTAGATCAGGGTGCCTCGGTCCAGAAGCATTGCACACGCAGATTAGTTATATTTTCAAGCTCCGCGCAGCTTCTAGGGAATGCCGCTGGGGCTGGCGGGGGCCCAAAGGCGAAGTGCTCCCCAGACGCGCGGCGAGTGCCGTGGGGAAGCGCGCGTGAGCACGCGGCAGCCCGAAGACGGCCCAAGATGGCCGCAAAACGGTCCAAGATGGCCACAAGACAAGCCGAGAATGCCGGGTGCCAGGTGCCGGGTGCCTCGCCGGGTGCTGGGTGCCGGGTGCCGGGTCGCCGGGTCGCCGGGTCGCCGGGTCGCCAGGTGCCGGGTGCTGGGTGCCGGGTGCCGGGTGCCGGGTGCCGGGTCGCCGGGTGCCGCGGATGCCGCGCGGGTGCTGGGTGCCGGGTCGCCGGGTGCCGGGTGCCGGGTCGCTGCCAAGACGCCGGGTCGCCGGGTGCCGGGTGCCGGGTGGCCAGCAGGTGCCGAGTGTTGGGTGCCGGGTGCCGGGTGCCGGGTGCCGGGTGCCGGGTGCCGGGTGCCGGGTGCCGGGTGCCGGGTGCCGGGTGCCGGGTGCCGGGTGCCGGGTGCCGGGTCGCCGGGTCGCCGGGTCGCCGGGTGCCGGGTGCCGGGTGCCGGGTGCCGGGTGTGCCGGGTGCCGGGTGCCGGGTGCCGGGTGCCGGGTGCCGGGTGCCGGGTCGCCGGGTCGCCGGATGGCCGGGTCGCCGGGTCGCCGGGTGCCGGGTGCCGGGTGCCGGGTGCCGGGTCGCCAGGTCGCCGGGTGCCGGGTGCCGGGTGCCGGGTGCCGGGTGCCGGGTGCCGGGTGCCGGGTGCCGGGTGCCGGGTCGCCGGGTCGCCGGGTCGCCGGGTGCCGGGTGCCGGGTGCCGGGTCCCGGTGCCAGGTGCCGGGGGCCCGGGGGCCGGGGGCCGGGGGCCGGGTGCCGGGTGCCGGGTGCCGGGTGCCGGGTGCCCGGTGCCGGGTGCCGGGTGCCGGGTGCCGGGTACGTCGCCGGGTGCCGGGTGCCGGGTGCGGGGGGCCGGTTGCCGGGTCGCCGGGTGCCGGGTGCCAGGTGCCGGGTGCCGGGTGCCGGGTGGCTGCCGGGTGCCGGGTGCCGGGTGCCGGGTCGCCAGGTCGCCGGGTGCCGGGTGCCGGGTGCCAGGTGCCGGGTCCCGGGTGACGTGGTGCCGGGTGCCGGGTCCGCCGGGTCGCCGGGTGCGGGTGGCCGGGTGCCGGGTGCCGGTCGCCGGTGCCGGGTGCGGGGTGCCGAGGTGCGGTGCCGGGTGCCGGGTGCCGGGTGCCGGGTCGCCGGGTTGCCGGGTGCTGGGTGCTGGTGCCAGGTCGCCGGGTCGCCGGGTCGCCGGGTGCCGGGTGCCGGGGTGCCGGGCGCCGGTGCCGGGTGCCGGGTGCCTCGTGCCGTTTGCCGGGTGCCGGGTGCCGGGTGCCGGGTGCCGGGTGCCGGGTCGCCGGGTGCGGGGGGCCGGGTGCCGGGTGCCGGGTGCCGGGTGCCGGGTGCCGGGTGCCGGGTGCCGGGTGCGCCGGGTGCCGGGTGCCGGGTGCCGGGTGCCGGGTCGCCGGGTCGCCGGGTGCCGGGTGCCGGGTGCCGGGTGCCGGGTCGCAGGGTCGCCGGGTGCCGGGTGCCGGGTGCCGGGTGCCGGGTGCCGGGTGCCGGGTGCCGGGTGCCGGGTGCCGGGTGCCGGGTGCCGGGTGCCGGGTGCCGGGTTGCTGCCGGGTCGCTGGCCCTTGTCAAGACCTCTCTGAAACTTTTGGAGATCCGCGCGAATTTCTTGGATCTGCGCTGAGACCCCCTCCCTGGCGCGCGGAATGCGCCAGGGGGGTCGCCGGAGACGCCGCCAGGAGTGCCCCAGCGCCGATCCAAAAAACCCGCGCGGAGCTCCGAAAGTTTATAATAATGCAAACGTTTTTCCTTCGACTCCAAAGCTGCGAGGCGGGGGTTCATCCATATCCACCGCCCCGGAACAGACGTCCTGGGGACCCCGCGGACGGTGAATGTGGACATATTATGGCCCCCCGGGGCCTGAATATATCTATTTCCGCTTCCCGTGGAACCCCAGGTGGTGGTCATGTATACATCCCGTACATGGACATTATATTCGAACCCTGTGGTCCAAGATGCCCCCCCGAACCCCCGAATTCAATATTGATGGCGTGGCGACGGGGGGGGCGTGAGTGGACAGAAATATTCGAACCCCAAAGCACCGCCTTTGCTGAGATCAACATTGATGTCGGGGGCGCGGGGGTGATTCAGAATCTCCCTCGAATGTGTGAGGGTTCGAATATATTGTCCATCTACTGTCCATGGCAAGGTTTGTGTAGTTCTGCACATTGCTCAAAGCGACCCTCATAAATCCAAGATCCCATGACTTGGGGGAGAAGGTGGAGGAGGAAGCGAAGGATGAGGAGGATAAGGATCAGGATGAGGAGGAAGAGGAGGATGGGGATGAGGATGAGGATGCGGAGGACCAGGAACAGTAGTGAGAGACAGGAGGAATGAGAAGGATGAGGATGGGAGGTGGTGGGGAGGAGGATCAAGCGGTGGAGCGTGGAGGATTTCTAAGCAGGTGCGGGAGGAGTGAATCAGAGGAGGCAGGGACGAAGAGGCGATGGGAGGGGAAGAGAGGGCATGGGGAGGAGGGGAGGGGAGGGGAAGGGAACGGGGAGGGGAGGGGATCGGAGGGGGCCGAAAGAGGGATGGAAGGAGACGGTCCTGTGAAGGGCTGCCTTGGGCCGTCCTGGAGGCCTCGGAGGCCCCATGGATTACCGGAGCTGCGGGAAGTTCGATTTTGCCTGCCCAGGGTTACATGTTGCTGTCGTCCCACCGTCCACAACAGACATCGGGTGCATTATCGAAAGCTGGAGACGGTCCTGTGGAGGGCTGCCTTGAGCCATCCTGAGGCCTCCGAGGCCCCATCGTTCCCCAGGCTGCGAACGGGTCGGTTTATTCCTACCCAGGGTGATATAGTCAGCGCATACACATGATTGCGATTTTTTCTCTGCACATGCTGTTCCTTCGTTCGCCGTCCTTGGGTCCTGGGTTACCACGCTCCCTTCATCGTCGCCATGGCAGATGGATAGGCGTTTGCTCGTGATATTGATGGGGGCGTTGTCTGGTAGGCTTTCAGGAAAGCAGCTGGCGAGGCAGCCAACAAGGCAGCCAACGAAGCAGCCTACGAGGCACCCAGCGAGGCGGCCAACGAGGCCTCCGACGAGGCAGCCCGCGGGGCAGCCAAAAAAACAGCCGTCGAGGCAACTGGCGAAGCAGCCAGCGAGGCGGCCAACGAGGTAGCCCACGAGGCACGAGGCAGCCAACGAGGTAGCCCACGAGGCAGCCAGCCAGGCAGCGAGGCGGTCGACAGGGCAGCCAGCAAGGCAACCAACGAGGCCACCGACACAGCACCCGGCAAGGCAACCAACGAGGCAGCCAACGAGACAACCAACGAGGCAGCCAACGAGACAGCCAACAAAGCAGCCAACGAGGCAGCCATCGAGGCAGCCAGCAAGGCAGCCAACAGGCAGCCGAGCAGGCAGGCCACCAGGAACCAGGCAGCCAACGATACAGCCACAGGGCAGCCGACGAAGCAGCAGCGAGGGGGGATCCCAAAATGGATCCCCCTTGCGCACCTGCGCGCGCATGTCGCGCAGATCTAGACCATTTTCACGGACAGAAGCCACCCGAACCTATGGCGCTACTAATGGAAAAAAGGGCATCCGAGATATAGGATGCCCTCGCTCACTGGACTGCATCCATTTTCAGGATGCCCCCGTTGGAAGGATGACCGCAACGCTTTCTGGACCGAGCGCATTTGGCCCGTCGTTGTCTCCACAGCCGGAGAATGTCGCCGAAATCCTTCACTCATGTATCTGCCGACGAGCACGTCGCAATGCGCCGCTTGCATGACAGCGGCATGGGCGTCAAGAGGATCGCCGCGGCCTTGAGCCGCTCCACGGACACCGTCTCGAAGCATTTGTTCAAAAAGAACACGACCAAGAAGTCCAAGGGCCGCCCGAAGCATTCCATCCGCACCCCCAAAGGGTTTCTCGCTGCCCAGCGCGCTTACAAGAAGCTTCTGAAGTCCTCGGGCGGCACAAAGGAAGTGACGGCAGCCATGCTGAAGTCCGAGATGAAGTTGAAATGCGACATCAAGACAGTGCGCCGCGCGTTTGCTGAGAATGGCTACCAGTTCCGCCCGCTGTACGAGAAGCCTGACCTTTCTGATGGGGACAAGAAGGAGCGCCTGCAGTGGGCCCGCGAGCACAAGCACCGGAGCCCCAGCCAGTGGTCACAGTACGTCCACGCGTGCATGGACAACAAGGTGTTCCAGGTGCTGCCCAATGCGAAGTACAGGAAGGTGGCGGCAAAGCGCAAGGTTCGCGGGGTGTACAGGAAGCGCAAGCGGGACTTCTCCGTGGGCCACGTCAAGCCGAGCAACCCTAAGGTTCTCGGGCTGGCGCAAATCGGAGACCGCGCCGCGGCCACTCAGCGCCAGGCCAGTGGCCGACGGCGCGCTCTGATTTGGCTCGCCCCCAGGTTCTGAAGCAGAGTTCGGGCAAGGGCTCCGTGACCATCGCGTGCGCCATCGGCGCGGGCAAGGTGTTGATGTGGCACCAGGTGGTCGGCAGGTGGAACGCCGCAGCCGCGGGGCGAATGTACTCGGGGGCGCTCCAGCCCGCTTTGAAGAGGGCCTACCCTTCCGTGCGCGGCAAGTTCCGCGTCATGGAAGACAACGACCCCACGGGCTACAAATCTCGCTCGGGCATGGCGGCGAAGAAGTCCGCTGGCATCCAGACGTTGGACTTGCCGAAGCGGTCCCCTGATCTGATGCCGCTTGATTTCGCCTTCTGGGCCAATCTGAACAAGCGCATGAGGGGGCAGGAGAAGGACTGGCCCGCGAGCAAGACGGAGACGCGGGCGCAGTACCTGGCCCGGCTGCGCCGCACGGCGTTGGCGACGCCTTCTGAGTACATCCACAGCATCATGGGCAGCCTGCACAAGCGCTGCGGCTTGTTGGTCGAGGCGAAGGGCGGCCACTTCGCCGAGGGCGGTGGGAACTGAGCGCGCGCGCGGTTTCGTCGGGCGGCCGCGGCGCGATTCGCGGCGGGCCAGGGCGGCGGGCGACCGCGGCGCAGACCGCAGCGGGCCGGGGCGGCGGGCGGCCCGTAGCGGCCCGCGCCTCGGTTGACCCGCGCGAGCGACGTGGGGCGCGGGAAGGGAGCCAGTCGCGGTCCACGATCAAGACCAATCCGTGCGTCCACCGCCCTTGCGGCTACAGGGCCAGCAGACGTAGTCGAAAGTACCTGATCTTGGCATTATGATTCTGTCCGCCGAGGCCCCCCAGGCGCCAGCGCCCTGGCGGCCCCAGAGAGCCCCTCGCACGAGACATGCAGCAAAAAACATAGTGAACCAACAGTGAACCAACAGTGAACCAACAGTGAACCAACAGTGAACCTTCGTAAAAACCATAGTGAACCTCGAATTCTATTAAAAAAGAGTAGGGAACTTCTTTTTTTAATAAAAATTGAGGTTCACTATGTAATTTGCAATGGTTCACTGTTGGTTCACTGTTGGTTCACTGATGGTTCACTGTAGGTTCAGTATGGTTTTTGTGCATGTTTGCACATGTCCAACAATGCCGCGCGAGCGGCATCCATGGACAGGATCCGCCGACCCCGCCCAGAGGTGCAGGGGGCGCGCCAGGCGCGCCAAGTGCGCCGCGTGCGACAGGTGCGCGGCACGCGACAGGTGGGCCACACGCGCCAGGTGAACGGGGAGCGCCCAAGTGCGACAGGTGCGCAGACGACGCCAGGTGCAACGAGCTCCCCAACTGAGCAGCCAGGCGGCGGTTTACGATGCCCCCGAAGACCCCGACGGTCCGCATTGCGTTTTTCTCTGTAGCCTGTCGGCTCAGCGGGGCGGGGGCTGGCCCTGGCCGGGTCGCGCGGGGGGATGGCGCTCTCGGTGGACAGGCCAGAGAAGCGCCGCAGGCTCGTGGGGAAGCAGAGCCAGCAGACGGCGCTCCTCGAGCACGTCGTCGGCGAGGAGAACAGGAACGCCTCGCGGGAGGTCTACTTGGTGACTCTGCCGCACACGGACAAGGAGGGTCTCAGAGCGCCAGCGGCTTTCTCGCGGGAGGAGGTCCGCGACGCTTTCCTGGATTGCTGCGGCGCTCCGGACGCCGACCCCGCGTGGCTCGCAAGCCACCGCGGGCAGGGGGCCGCGCCCGTCGGGGTCAAGAAGCTGGTGGTATTCAAAGAATACCACGCGCCAGTGGCAGGCGTCCGGCGGGCGCACTACCACGTGGCCTTGCACTGGGCAAGAAGAGCAAGTTCCTGACCGTGAAGCGGGCCTTGCTCAACAGGTACCAACTCGCCTCTCACTGGTCCTGCAGCCACGACGGGCACTGGTCGGCCGTCGGGTACTGCGCGAACGCGACGCCCAAGAAGCCGCGGAGCGCCCTGGACGTTGACTACTTGGCTTGGCCCGCGGACCACCCGCCGCTGTCCGCGGCGAAGAGGGAGCCGACGACCGCCCGCGCCTTGGAGAAGCGCAGGACCGCGCGGGAGCAGGTCGAGGGCGAGAAGGGGAAGCCAGAGCCTCGCGTCGAGGAAGTGGACCTGTGGCCGATAGTGGTCAGGTCTGGGATCCGGAATACTCCGGACGACCCCCACGCAGTGCGCAAGTTGATGGCGTACGCTAAGACGTCCTGCTCGCACAAGGTGGTTGCCTGGATGTTCAAGAACGAGCACGTGCTGGAGAAGATCATCGACAAGGCCTGGGCGTGGGAGAACGTGGACAGCTTCCTCGAAGACGCGACGAAACCCGTCATGCAACAGTTCAAGGAGGCCTTGCGGACGCCTTGCGTTTGCGGCGGCCGCTGGTTGCACCACGTCCGCGAAAGCCTGTCGATGAATCGCATCGACGTCCCCGACCTGTGCATCAGCATCTTGATGTCCCTGAAGCACGGTCGGTCCGAGGCGGCCCCGGTGGTCACCTTGGCTGGGCGCTTCGGCGGAGAGGGGAAGTCTCTTCTCTTCTCAGCGGTTCGGCCGCTGTTCGGCGGTGAGCACGCGCAGGAGAGGCCAGGCGGGGGGCAGTTTTGCCTCCACGGCTTGGACAAGGCCAAGGCCGCGGTGCTGGACGAGTGGATGTTCATCGATGAGGACCTCCCCCTGTCCATCCAGCTCCTGTGGCTGGAGGGCAAGCCCGTGCCCATCACCATGCCCCAGAACCAGCACGTCGGGCACAAGGTGTACCTGGGGTCCGCCCCGATTTTTGTCACCTGCCCCGAGACGGCGCTGGCGGGCCTCTCGTCCGAGTCGTCGCAGCGCCCGCAGGGGCAGGCTGGCATGCTGCTCCGGCGGCTGAAACTGTACTTATTCACTGTGCCGATTCCCAAGCCGCCGGCCCCGAAGCTAGCGCCGTGCCCGCGCTGTTTCTCGACCCTCGTCACAAGCGAGGCTCTTAAGTTCAAGCCCAAGTAGTCCTGCCGCGTGCGATTGGGGTCGCTGCGCGCAGACATCATCACCATCATCGCCATCATCACTGTCGCCATTATCGTCGTTGCACACCTCGTTGCCCCATCGGGAACTCCACGGAAGGCCCCGATGGTTGACTCCGCACGCCGCGCCCCGACAATTTCGGCAGACCCCTAGAGCGTTGCACGACCGCCACGGGCACGTCGTGCTTCTGGCCCGGCACGACTCCGACCATCACCGTCGACGATGCCAGTGCTGTCGCCTCTGGCCCGTCCGTCAGTCCGCGTGGAGCCTCTTTGGGGGTCGTCTTGGAGCCCCCGTGGATCTTCGTAAGGCCCCCTGGAGGCCCTCTCGGGCGAGGTCTACGACAGAGGCCCCCCGCTGCGTTCCGTTAAATTCCATTCACTCCCAACTCCTCCGCAGGCCCCCAACTCTTTCCCAGTCCTCGCCACTCCCCTGCAGTCGTCCGCACCCCACCGCACTCCGCCAACAAAAATTCCGAAACCTCTCATTCCTCCACGCCCCTCCGCACTATTCCCAACTGCTCCACGCCCTTCCGCACTCCACCCGAAACCTCCGCAACCGCCCCACTCCCCCCCCACCCCTCCGCACTCCTCCCGAACCTTCCGCAACCGACCCATTCCCCCAGACCCCTCCACAATCGTCCCAGAAACTCCGCAATCCTGCCATTCTTCTCACCCCTCCGCACTCTTCCCGAACATCCGCAACTCTCCCATTCCTCCACACCTCGCCGCATTCTTCCCAAAACCTCCGCAAGTCTCCCATTCCCCCACATTCCTCCGCACTCCTCCCGAACCCTCCGGAGCCCTTCGAATTCGTTCCGCCCCTCCGCACTCCTCCCGAACATCCGCGATCCGTCCCATTCCCCCCCACCCTGCGCACTCCTCCCAAACCTTCCGCAACCGTCCCAGTCCTCCACACCCCTCCGAACTCTTCCCGAAACCTCCGCAATCCTGCCAGTCTCTCCACCCCTCCGCACTTTTCCCGAACATCCTCAACTCTACCATCTCTCCACATCCCTCCGCACTCCTCCCAAAACCTCCGCAACCCTCCCATTCCCCCACATCCCTCCGCACTCCTCCCGAAACCTCCGCAACCCTTTTATCATTCCACATCCCTCTGCACTCCTCCCAGACACCCGCACCTCCCCCATTCCTCCAGGCCCCTCCGCACTCCTCCCGAAACCTCCACAACCGTCCCATTCCTCCACATCCGTCCGCACGCCCCCCGAAACCTCCGGAGCCCTTCCATGTCTCCCCACTCCCCCGCACTCCTCCCGGGACATCCGCACATATCCGCACCTCCCCCATTCCTCCACACCCCTCCGCACTCCTCCCGAAACTTCCGCAACCCTCCCATGCCTCCACATCCCCTCGCACTCCTCCCAAACCTTGTGAAACCGCCCCATTCCTCCCCACTCCTCCGCACACCTCCCGAAAGAGACCTCCGCAACCCTCCCATTCCTCCACGCCCTTCCGCACTCCTCCCGACACCTTCGCAACCCTTTCATCCTTCCACATCCCTCCGCACTCCTCCCAAACCTTCTGCAACCGCACCATTCCTCCCCACCCCTTCCGCACTCCTCCCGAAAGAGATTTCCTCCACCATCCCATTCCTCCCCACCCATCCGCACTCCCCCCGAAACCTCCGCAACCCTCCCAGTCCTCCCCACGCCTCCGCACTCCTTCCTCACCTCCCACCACCGTCCCATTTCCCCTCAACCCTCCGCACTCCTCCCAATCCTGTGGGGTTCTCCCATTCCTCCAGACCCTTCCGCACTCCTCCTGAAACGTCTCACCCCTTGCCCCAGCGTCTTACTCCCAGGAGCGGAACCTCCATCTTCCTCCTATTCCTTCTCCTCGTTCTCCTCCCCCCCTCCTCCCTCCTGTTCCTCATTCCTCCTTGAGGGTTGTGGGTGATGATGATGCTGCTGCTGATGATGCTGATACTGATGATGGTGATGATGATGATGATGATGATGATGATGATGATGGTGGAGATGATGCCGCCGATGAGGGCGATTATGATTGTAATGCTGACGTTTGTGGCATCTGCACAATCTCCTCCTCTCCCTCCTCCCTACTCCCACCTGCAAAACAAGATGGGGGACCGTACATGGACATTATATTCGAACCCTGTGGCCCAAGATGCCCCCCCGAACCCCCGAATTTAATATTGATGGCGTGGCGACGGGGGGGCGTGAGTGGACAGAAATACTCGAACCCCAAAGCACCGCCTTTGCTGAGATCAACATTGATGTCGGGGGCGCGGGGGTGATTCAGAATCTCCCTCGAATGTGTGAGGGTTCGAATATATTGTCCATCTACTGTCTCTCCTGTCGCAGGTTCCTCCCCTCGCCCCTCCTCCCGCGCGCGCGTTCGCTTGGCCGCTCCGCCGCCTCTCTCTCCCGTTGCAGGTTCCTCCCCTCCCCTCCCCCCCCACAGGTCCGCGCGTCTACTTCGTGGAGAGCACCTACGTCCCTCGTCGGTTTTGCGGCTCGAAGGTCAGGACACACATGAGTACGGGTCATCCTGGGCCGATTGCCGACCCAGTGCGCAGTATGCCTGCGGATGCCGTATGCCGGCCACTTGTCCCCTGCGCTGTGCTGCAAGTGCGCGCCGTATGCTGGTCCCTTGTGCGCAGTATGCCTGCGGATGCCGTACGCCAGCAATCATTCCTCTGTGCAGTATGCCTGCAGTGTGCGCCGCATGCCGGCCATTGTGCGCAGTATGCCTGCGAATGCCGAATGCCGGCCCTGTGCGCAGTATGCCTGCGATTGCTGCCTGTCAGCCCCTCTCCGCAGTATGCCTGCGCGCGCGGCTGTATGTCTGCAAGTGGGCGCCGTATGCCGGCCATTAAGCGCAGTATGCCTGCGAGTGCCGTATGCCGGCCCCCCCCCCCCATAGCGCAGTATGCCTGCGTGCGATGCAGTATGCCTGCAAGTGTGTGCCGTATGCCGGCCCTTGTACGCAGTACGCCTGCGGTTGCCGCATGCCGGCCCGGTGCGCAGTATGCCTGCGGATGCTGCCTGTCAGCCCCGGTGCGCAGTATGCCTGCGGCGTGCGTTTGCCTGCCCTCTTGCGCTGGATGCCTGCGGGTTATGTCATGTGCAACCGCCAGCGCGCGATGAGGACGCCGAGGGGGATACGTGCACGGCGCTTTCCGACGCGCGCGCAGCATCCATGGCGCTGGCTCGCTCAGACATCGTTGAGTTGCTTGGCGATCTGCCTGCTGGCGCATTCGGCACCGACAAAAATGCCATCAGGGCGCGCGCGCGCGTCTCCGTGCGTCTACCGCGGGCATGAGCCCACCCGCAGCGGCGCGCAAGGCCGATTGGGTCCTCTTCGTCGCAGCGGCCAACGCGGCGGAGGGGGGCGCATCGCCAGCTCCCGAGCTGGTGCTGTGCACCACGGTCGCGCGCCTGATGGCCGAAGCGATCGGGGCGGTCCGCCCGATTGATTACTCGGATGCGGCCATGCGCGATATGTTGATTGCGGCCCTGAAGCCTGGCGCGAAGCCGTTTGCGGGCGATTCTTCCGCGGAGTGGCGCGATTTCGCGATTAAGCCGTGCCACATCAATATGGCGCTGCGGACACAGTCGCGAGCGATGGAAGCCTTCGGGCGGAAGGCCCCCGCCCCGTTGGTGCGCGAGGGCGCGGGCCGCCGCGCGGCGTGCCGCCAGGAGGGTCAGCAATCGGCCCCGGCGGAGGCGGCCGCCAAGCCCGCGGAGGAGACGACGCGGATTGCGGCGGCAATGGAAGAATACGTGAAGGCCAGCAAGGAATTGCTCGAAGAAAAGCGGGAGAAGCTGCTGGCGTTTGCCATGGAGGCGCGCCGCGTTTTCGCATGCGCGGGCGGCATTGTTCGGGGATACGCGCCTCGGCAGGACCGTGTGCGCGAGGTCTGGCTCGGCAAGTTCCCCCGTGAGGGATTGCCGACCGAGGAGTCGATGCGCAAATTCGCGGCCGCGGGCCGGACGGCCCAGTCCCATGTCCGCTCATACATTGGGAGCGCCGAGGGCGAGAGCCTGCAGGCTCCCTGCTCGGCGGCACGTGCAATGACAAGCTTCCGTTTCGCCGATTGCTCCGCGCGCAGGACCACTGCAAGCCCCAATGGGCGCGAATGCCGAAGCTGGACTCGGTGCCAGCGGGGGCGGGCTCGTGGCGCGATCGCGCGTCGGCCGTCGCCGCGGCGAACCGCGCGGGTGCGGCCCTGGACCGAATGGATTTTCTCGGTTATGCGCACTTCCAGGTCGCGCGCGACGCAGCGCAGCGCGCGCGCCCACGCGCGCCCCGTGGCGCGAGGCCCACGTAATGGAGTGGGGGCTTCGCTGCATCCTGTCCAAAGTGTTTGATCCCGTCGTGCTATTGGGATACATGTGCCAGCTCGCGCGCGTGAGCGAGGAGCACGGGGGCGTCAAGGCGCGTCCGCGGAGCGGCGGGCCCGATGCCCAGGGAGCCGCGCGCGGGAGCCCGCGCCGCGTCCAGGTTTCCTACACGTACGATTTGCTTCTCCGCCAGAAAGTGGCGAAAGACCTGGTGCACGGCGACGAGGATGCGACGGCCTCGTTCACTGCGTTGTCGCGGGACATTCTGCGCGCCGCCAAGGAGCGCAGCGCTTTTGAGTGGCCGCCGCCCTGGCATCGTGCATCGCGCTGCGCGCTGTAGGAGAGAGTCCAGCAGTCGGACCGCCAGGCGGCGTTCGCCATGGGCAGGGGCAAGAAAGGCGGCAACGACCGGCGCGACCAGGCGCGAGCCCGCGCGCGCGCGCCCCGCGAGCGCGAGCACGCGTCGCGGCGCGCGAGGCGGCGAAGCCACGGACCCCGGTGAGCCCTGTCCTCCGCCAGCGCTCGCGCAGCCCCCGCCGCGATACCTTCAGCAAAAGGGGAGCGGAAAGGCCGGCAAGGGAGGGGCTCCCAAGGACGCGGGGAGCTCGTGGCACAAGCCTGAGCGAGAGGAGTCCTGGCGGTGGTGAAGCCAGGGCGCCGGCGCTGTGCATGCTAATTATTCGCCCGCCCGGGGCGCGCCCCGCGCGCGCGCGCGCGCGCCCCCCCGCGGGGACGCTGCACCAGCCAGTGATGCAGACGACGGGGCCTCCCCAATGCACCCTGCCGACAGCGGTGAGGGCGCAGTGTGGCGCGGGCCGTCGCCCGAGGGGCAGGAGGCGCCGCCAGTGCGCCGCGCGCGAGACCGCCCCGCCCGCGGCGAGCGCAGCGCAGGACGCGGATGTTGATTCCGACGACGGCGCCGAAGGCGGGGGCGGCGACCTTTGCCCCCAGCAAATCCACGTTGCCGGCTGCGCATTTGAAGAGGCCCTTGCCCGCCACTCTACGGGGGCGGAGCCGCGAAGCGCGCGCGCGCAGATCAAAGCCGCCGTGGATGCGTTGCTCGACGACGGAGACAAGAGGGCGGGCATGGGCCCTCTTTGCCACGCCGCCTGGGCGGCACACTTGCCGCGAGTCCGCGAGATAGCGCCGCTTGCGGGACCTGGGCGCGATGCGGCGGTGGCGGCGAGCCAGACGAGCGACGCACTCTTGCAAGAGAGGCGCGAGGCGGCGTTGCAATTTTGGCGAGAGCGCAAACGTGTGACGGCTTCAGAATGGAAGGCGCCGCCCGGCACGCCGCTGCCGCGAAGCACCGGCGGAGAGCGCGGTCGGGCGAGGCACGCTATGCGAAGTTGCCATGGCATGTGCGCTCCGTCCTTGGGCCTGACAAGAACTTGTTGCTTTTGGCCGAAATGATGCAAGCTGCAGGGGTGGCCAGCGACGCAGCGCGCGCGCGCGACAGCGGGGCGCGGCTCCGTGCTTGAGGCGTCCGACGAGAATTTGACGAGTGACTTGGAGCGGGGCTTCCCGCTAGTGGGGGTCCTGCCGCGCTCGGGCATGAACGCGCCCGTGACCCCCAAGGGAGCCGAATGCCCATCCGAGTTGCGCAGCCGAGCGGACACTTTGAACGCCGCCACCCTCGAGCGCGTGTCTCGGGATCTGGGGGCCGACGCGGAAGTCACCCAGATTTTGCATGATAAAGCGTGCGAAGAGGCGCGCGCCGCGCAAGCCAGCGGGGACAGTCGCCCATGCTGCGACGTCCGCGAGCGTGCAGGTGGCCGCGGGCCAGGCAGCGTGGGTCCGGTTGTCCGACCTGCCACGCGGGGCGGTGTTAAACCCGCGATTCCCTGTAGACGAGGGATGGCGCTGGAAGTTGGGAGAATGGATACGCAAGGAATGGCGCATTCGCCGCGGCATGCACCGTCCCCTCCCCTGGGCGCCGCGCCGGGAGCCAACGCGTCCAGGTACGCGCGATCGACGATTTCACTGCCACGGGCGTTAATGACTGCGCCGCCGCAGCCGAGAGGTGCAGGCGGGCCCTTTCCCCCCCCCCGCCCCTCGCGCGCGCTGTCCGCTCTCCCGTGTCGCCGCGACCGCGCGTAGGGTGGATTCTCTCGATGCTCTGGTCGAGCTGGCGCGGATCGCGGCCGCGGCCGGCACGCCGGTGCTGAGCATAGAAGATTTCATCGGTGCTTACAAAACGTTGCCCGTGCGAGGCGCCGACCTCCCGTTGGCCCATTCGGTATGGGCCAAGGGAGCCCGCGAGGGCTACTGTCTGCAACTCTTGAGCTGCCCCTGCGGCGCCGTGGGCAGCGGATACGCTTGGGACCGCGTTGGGGCGGCGCTCCAGGCGCGAGGCGCGAGCGCCGCGGCGGCACGGCGAGCGCCCCGCGAGCGCGGCAGGCCATCCTTGCCAAGCTGTTCTCGCTCGCTTCGGGCCGATTCGTGGACGATCTGTTCCGGGCCGACGCGGACAGGGGGCCCGGCACGGGCGGCCCCGCGATGCCGCAGAGGTCCTGAGGGCGGTCGTCGAAGACCTTTTGGGCTGGCGCCTGGACGCCGGCAAACGCGTTGTTGCCGAGCCGAGGGCCACTGTGCTCGGCGTCGGCGCGGAAGTGCGCGGATCGGGCGATGAGCTCTCGTTAGTATTCGCGATCGGTGGCGACAAGCGCCACAAATGGATCCAAGAGATCGAGTGGGTGCTGGAGGCTGGGAGAATGTCGCCGGCGGCGGCATCAAAACTTGCCGGCAGACTCGGATGGGGCTCCTCTGCGGTGTTCGGCAGAGGCACGCCCAAGCTCCCGCGCGCGAGCGACGCGCGCGCGCGAGAGCGACGGCAGGTGCCCGGGTATCCCTCGCCCCGCTGTTCTGGCACGCGCAGCAGCGGGGATGGAGGTTGAAGTCGCGGCTCCGCGGGGCATTGGAATGGTGGCTGCGCTTCCTCCGGAGCGCGCCGGAACGAGCGGTGCCCCCGCGGGTGACCCCGGAGCGGCCACGCTACCTCGTCTATTCCGACGCGACGGGCGGCGGCAGGCGACATACGCGCGCGCCTGTTTGGAACGGCGCCCGCATTGCCCGGCCCGCCCCGCCTCCGCAGGCTCGCGTGGGTCATCATTGGGCCCAGCGGTAAGCGCTCTGCAGCGGCTGATGTGCCTTCGTCGATCAAGCGGTGGACGAAG